GGGGGGGGGGGGGGCTGGCTTCAGATGCCATGGTGTCTGTTCCGTGTTGCGTTATGGAAAGTTCCCTTTACAGATCAAAAGTTGGGAGGCCAGACAGCTGAACGTGGATTTGAAGAGGTTTTAAGAGGCATGGAATGAGTCACTGGTTGTTTGGGGTTTTTTTTTTAATAATTCATGGAACGTGGAAACCACGGGGCCAGTGTATTTAGAGGTGGCGAAAAGTGTCCAGTCTGCGCACAGGGCGCATCTGGCCCGTGTATCTGAGCGGCGCGAGCGTTGCCTGGGGGATCGCCGGTCACACTGTGGCCGTGGGCCTTTCTCTGTGTGCAGATGGTGTGGGAGAGCGGCTGCGTGGTCATCGTCATGCTGACCTCCCTCTCGGAGAACGGCATCTGCCAGTGCTGCCACTACTGGCCAGATGAAGGCTCCAGCCTCTACCACGTCTACGAGGTACTCCCCCAAGCGCCTGCCCGCAGGGCCCAGAGGAGCATGAGTCGCCGCCCCGCCCGGTGGGAGCTCCCCCTTGGGAAGGCTGGTGGGCGGGCCAGGCGTCCCCAGGGCCCCGTGGTCCCCAGATACCCAGCCCTTCCCAATGGCCATGGCCCCGCGTTCTGGCGTAGACGGCCCGGTCTTCGCCTTTAAAGTTTCGTGATTCCAAACCCAGACAGAGAGGACCAAAGAGTTACCTCCCAGGGAGGCCCGTTGAGCCAGGCCCCGAGGAACGGCGGGCGGGGCGGGGGGTGGGGGTTGTTTTAGGAAACACTCCCCTGCTGTTCTCACGGCTCAGTGGTCCCCGCCTGGCGTTCAGGGGCTTGTGTCTGAGATTCGACCTTCCTTGAGGGCCGCCTGGCCACGAGTTTCTTTCTCTTGCTGGACTTTCTACCCACGTCAACGACGAACCAAGTGAACGCGGGCAGAGCGACTAGGGCTGTGTGTGTGCATGGTTTTGTGTTAAAATTGGAATGCCAAAGCCCCACGGCGGAAGTGTGAAAATTAACCCTAAATCACGCGGCCGTGGCTTTTAGGGGGCTGAGAATGGGCTTGACCCTGAGAAGTGCCGGGTCACGGTTTCCCTGTGAACCCACTGGGCTCCTCTCCGCCTTTCGGTGACACCACCGCGGTGAAATGTCAGCTCCGGTGGAACCCGTTGGTGTCTTGCCCGAAAGTACAGTTGTCCTTGAAGGTTTACACAGCTCAGAAATACAAAAGACAGAAGCTGGAATAGTTTTGAATCCAAACACAGTTTTCTAATAATTTGACTAATGTGTCTACGTGACATTAAAACGCACAGAGTTATCTTTTGCGTAAACCCTGTCAAAATTGAGTCGGTGGGAGGGTCCGTGCAGCCCGCCGTCGGCCCGCGAGCTGCCCCCCTGGTATTCGCCCTTGGCTCCTGCAAATCCCTCCGTGTTCAGACGATGATGCTTCACGTTCCCAATGCCACCCCCCCCCCGCCCCATCCAGGTGAACCTGGTCTCCGAGCACATCTGGTGTGAGGACTTTCTCGTGAGAAGCTTCTACCTGAAGAACCTTCAGACCAACGAGACGCGCACCGTGACCCAGTTCCACTTCCTGAGCTGGTGCGACCGCGGGGTGCCCTCCTCCGCGAGGTCCCTCCTGGATTTCCGCAGGTACGACCGACCGTGCACCGGCAGGTTAATGCTTTCACGTTGCGGGTGTCAGGGAGGAGGGGACGCCGTGTGATAACCGGTCTCCTGCCTCCAAGAGGCCGTTTGCCGTGAGACACGCCATCTGTTATATTTTTGCGTAGATTATAAATATACGATCGATCCTAGAACAACACGGGTTTGAGGCACCGAGCCCCACACACAGTTGAAAATCACATTTAACTTGTGACTCCCCTGAAACTTACCTGCTGACAGCCTGCTGTATACCGGAAGCCTTACCGGTGACCTAAAAAAGTCAGTTAACGCATATTTTGTATATCCTGTGCGTCACGCACGGCGTTCTTACAATGAAGTGCGCTGGAGAAAAGAAAACGTTATTGAGAAAATCACCAGGAAGAGACAGTACGTTTTCAGTGCTGCCTTGTATTTATCGAAAAAAATCCACGCGTCAGTGGACCCGCACAGTTCAAGGCCATGCTGTTCCAGGATCAACTGTATTTATAATATATATAGGAGAGGGGAGGGGAGGGAAATTATGTTAATGGTACATATTAACCGCAAGATGTTTTCTGGTTTTAGAGGAGTCAAAATGGGGGACGAAGATACCTTAGAATTATGGAAATAAGGTGGTTATTTCTGATCAGATTCTCTAAGTGGTCGAGTCCTCAAGTCTATGCCTCGCAGGGCACTGATGAGGAAAAGACAGGCTTATCTTGGAGACTGTCTGGTTGGACACGATGATGAGATGTGGCAAGTGTGGGCCCAGACTCTGCCCTGGATGACCTTGGACCTTGGCGGGGGAGCCTGGATGGAATTAGCACATGACCATGTGTATTTTAGTGCAGTTTGAAGCTGACAGTCTGGAAACATCCAGTCTTTATTCCCGCCGCAGTCAGCCAGTCGCCCGGGGGGGTGTTGTTATCAAGTGTGTTTATTGACCTGTTGGGATGAATGCTGGGAGCCATCTTCCAGGAAGATATTGACGAGGCAAAAAAGGGAAAATGTCAGACGGAGGCTTTGATTGTCCATTGGATTCGGTGATGACGGTTGGTCAGCATTGGCTGTCGTGTGGCGGTACGTACACATCCGCCAAGGACAGGCAGGTGCTGAGCAACAGGCTGACCGCGCTCTCGGTTTCCCAGAGCCTCTCTTACGTGTCACTGATGGGGAAGCCACCCGATACCAAAAGCAGACAAATGTCCAAAACAAGGACTTAGGAAACAAGATGTGCCTTGACCCAGCCTCGTACACAGTCGTGAAGCGGTTTGTGTCTGAACGGTATTCATCCTTGAATGCACACTGTGTCACTCGAGAGAGCGGGGTTTCAGGCTCATCTCTGCGTTTCTTGAATTTCTGTGTGAGACATTCTCACGGTTATTATGATGCTATTTCTTTTGCCTTTGAAAAGCAAAACAGATTTTTATTTGAGTGGTTCTTTGGACCAAAGAGCATGTGAAACCTCGAGGAGAGACAAACCCTAGGCGTCACGGCCACGGTGCACGCGCGGGGACCCATCCCTGCTCCGTCACCTTGCCCAGAGAGGCGGAGCGCGCAGCCCGCACCCAGTCCTGAACACAGCCCCAAAGCCCTGGTTCCACACAGTTCCTTCCCAGCGCATCCCAGTTTCCTGGCTATTTCATTCGTCGTCGTAATACAAATTTACCTAGAAATCTTACCTAGGGCACATTTCCTGAGATAGAGTCTCCAAACAAGAGGCGTTACTGGCAAAATGGATGTGGCTACAAAGATAGCCGTTCATCTTGACCCCCGTCTTTATGCTCATGCGGTGCGTTTGTACATATATGCATGTGGGCGCACGTCCGCGTCCGTATCCATACGTGGGTCTGACCAATACACAAGCAACCTCTGTGCTTATAAACCTGTCATGAAGAGACACTGAGTCCCCAAGTTCCCTTTCCCCCAGAGGCTTAGGAGATACGGCTCCGGAAAGTTTCTGTTAACTTGAAATTTGCAAGTCTGTTCAAACATCAAGCTTCGCGGGCTTGCCTCATGTGGCACCAGCCCGCCTGTCGCGGACCAACCAGACAAAGGGCGTGAGCGGCCACGGTCTCGGGAGGGCCGCGCTCAGGCACGGACTGCCGCTTTGCGGTTTTCTGGGTAAAAGAGCCACCCAAAGTTCAGCCATCGGCCAGGGGCGACGGCTTCTGAAGACACTGGTCACCTTACGCACAGGTCTCCTCCCGCCCCGCCCCGAACATTCGCCCAGCCTTCCCTCGCTCTGGCCAGCGTGTGCAGCAGGCCCTGGGATGTGTAATTACTTCCTTCTGGAGCCCAGAGGGAGCGCATTTACACTTTAAAGAGAAGCTGCCAGAGCTGAGATCATTAGCATCACATGTGAGGGCTTTGCTTTTAAAAATTATCTCTCTCTCTCTCTCTCTGTCTGTCTCTCTCTCTGACTCTCTCACTTCTTGCTGTGTGCAGCGGCACTCAGACCCTTACTTTGCCAGCTAATGAGCGGTGGCCAGTGTCATTTTTGTGATGTTGCAGCTAGTAATATGAGCCCAGTTGCATAGTCACAAAAGTGATCATTGGAGGCTGTGACTCTGCTGCTGGGCAGTGTGGGGGGCCCCCTTCCTGAGCCTCTCACGACCTCTGACCTTTGCTCGCTGTGGGTTGCATGCGGCTCCTTGTCACTCAGCGACCCGTGGGTCGGTTTGTATTACTAATCGTTCTTTCTCAGTGAATGCTCCTGTTGAAATATATCTAACCTCCATTTTTCTCCATGTTTGCAACCGTTGGCTTGCTGATGATTTGTTCTAATCGAGTGACACAGGACAGCTGTGTGTTGCCCACCTTCATGAATAATCTGCATCTGTATCTTGGGTCAACCAGGTGAACGCTTTTGTTGACGATGTGATGCTCCTGCCCTTCTATTTGTGATGTTTTACGTTGTGACGGTACAAGCACGTGACTCTTTGTCAATGAAATTCTCAGCCACGCGGGCACATTGTTTGCACATCGCGCGTCTCCTCGATTGCTCGTGGCCCTTTGTGGATAGGTTTGGCAGGGGGCGGGGCTAAACGTGGCGACTAAAATGACAGCGAAACCTTCGTGGGCCACACCAGGCGGCCGGTCACAGCGCGCTGGAGAGAGAAATGTTTTAAATACTCTGTGAAGTCAGAACGGGGACTGCGGGAATTCGGAAGCAAGCTGCCGTCGTAGGTGCCGGGAATTCCTTTTTAGCAACTTTTCTTTGCCGAGGGGGCCGTGCTTACTGCACTCTGCCGGAAGCGAGGCTGACCAGCTGCGAATGGGACACTCCGGTCCCGCGATTCCTTCCGGTGATGGTTTTCTGAAACCAGTACGCTTACTGTTTCTTTCTTAAATGTACTATTTTTGTACTTGGCCCCCTCAGAAAAAATGACCAAAACCTGTGATTGACCAGGGTGTGAACGTACAGACGTTGGGTTAGTCTTTACAAGCACAGACTGGACAGCCCAGTACGAAGTATAACAGAATGTTGGAGGTTCACATCTAAAGAGATTCAGCGACCGAGAGATTTCTAGTAAAAGGCCTACAAAAATAAAGCCGTCCTAGATCTAATCTGACTCTGAGCTTGCTACATTCTACACATGTACACACATACACACACACACAGAGTACACACTGTGCACACATGCACACGCAGGGCACACACACACATGCACACAGTGCATACACACACGCTCACAGTGCATACACACACATGCACACGGTGCCTATGCAGGGCACATGCACACACAGTATGTACACGCTTGCACATGCAGGGCACACACACATGCACACGCAGGGCACATGCACACACAGTATGTACACACATGCACACGCAGGGCACACACATGCACACAGTGTGTACATACATGCTCACACAGTGCATACACACACATGCACACGCAAGGCACACACACGCACAAAATGTGTACACACATGCACACATAGGGCGCACATGCACACAGTGCATACACACATGCACACACACATGCACAGATCATACACACACATGCACACGCAGGGCACACACATGCACACACAGGATGCATGTGCACAGTGCATACACACATGCACATGCAAGGCACACGTGCACACACGCACACAGTGCGTACACACACATGCACACGCAGGGCACGTGCCCACACACACACAGTGTGTACACACATATGCACATGCAGAGCTCACACACATGAACCAACAGTGTGTACACACACATATACATGAAGGTCTCGCCCCACACACAGGGCAGGTGCACACGCACACACAGGGCACATGCACATACATAGTGCGTACACACATGTACATGCAAGGCGCTCACGCACAGTACGTGCACACACATGCATGCAGGGCGGGTGCACACACATGCTCACATAGTGTGTACACACACATGCACGTGCAGGGCACGTGCACACACACGGTGTGTACACACACGTGCACACGGCACATGCACACACGCATGCATGCAGGGGGGTGCACACACACAGTGCTTACACACACATGCACGCGCAGGGCACATGCACACACACGGTGTCTACACACACGTGCACACAGGGCACATGCACACGCATGCATGCAGGGCGGGTGCACACACATGCACACACAGTGCATACACTCATGCACACGCAGGGCACGTGCACACACACAGCCTCAGATGAGCTGGCAGACCTCACGTTGCTCACATTTGAGGCACATCTTGGGGTCTGGCATGTACTTTGTCAAACCTAAAGCTCTGTTGACCTTACGACCGAAGTCAAGGATGGGAGTTTTAAGATGCAGACCACCTCCACTTCCGGTTTTAAATTACCACTTTAATGAACGTGATCCTGGGTGTCCATCTCCACCACCTTGAGTTTATAAGACATTTACAGTCTTGGCTGGAACTGACCACCCAAGACCAGGAGCCTCTCGCTCTACCGCCTGAGCCAGGCGGGCGCCCCGAGACTCAAAGTTTTAGTAGGAGAAAGTAGTGGGTCTATTTTTCAATGTTTTATTCTCAAAGGCCCACGAACTCTGAGGGCACCGTGGCACTCTTGCTCGATCTCGATGAGCTCACGTGTGCTTCCTTCACCGTCCCGCTCCACCCCAACGTTAACGTGCGCCTCGAAAGCGAGCTGAAGCTCCAGCAGAGGTGGCCACCGAGCAGCCTGTTTCACCCGTGTTGGTGGGTCTTCTCATTTTTAAGACTTTCGGTGGCCTGCCAACTTTAAATGCTGCAGGAGGCGGCCCGAGGGGCGTGGGGGTGGCCCCATCGTAGGGCACATCGCCTCACGCCTGGGCTCCCCTCGTGCTGTTCGGCGGGGCGTGTGGGCCTCACTCCGTTCACTCGTAGAGGAGATGGAAAGGACCAGCTTTGTGCTTGGGGGGAAGGTACCGCCGGGCGCCCGGGCCAGCCGCCTGCCCCCAGCGCCCCCTCCGTCTCCGCGTCCAGGGGTTTGAAGCCAGGCCACCCGCGGAGAGAACACACACTTCCCACACCGTCTCTGTGCCGGGCAGGCCAGCCTCCGCAGAGAAATGCGGCGTTTTCCTGTTTCCGGTGCGAGGGAAAAGATCCTTTTTTTGCACCGGTCTCTCTCTTTTTTTAATTTTGCCCCGTGTCATACATTGTAGAAATTCACACAGAGCAATTTCGAGCACAGCCCCCTCACGCGTTTGGCTCATTTACTTTTCTCTATTCAGAACTATTTTACTGAGAATTTTCATGTACTTTGTAAGCAAGTTTAGTGGTTTCACTGACTTCCAACACGTTTGGAGCTTACGCAGTGAATTTTAAATCAGCCCTCTGTTTCGATTTAGGGCTCGGTCACGAGATAGTCTAAGCTCCTTGTTAATTTGCATAAATCCTGGTCTAGAATCTGCACAGCGAAGTTGTTTGTCAACATGTTCAAATGTGTACAAAGGAAGGACTTGTCTCTGATGTAAGCTCAGGTTTCTGTGGAAGGAAGAAGCCCGGACCCACCGGACGGACCAGAAGGGACCTTAAGCTGCTCTTTTGAGACAATATTCATATTACATTCCGATAGGACATCTAGGACGTAAGAAACTTGGAGCAATACATCGCAGAACTCGGCCGTTCTAGCAGAGTCTAGATGCCCACGTCACAACAAAAAGTCAGGCTGAGCGGAGCCGCAGACGTCGGGGCGGGGTGGGGGCGGGGCAGGCCAAAGACCGAGCCCCCCCGGGGTCTGGCTTGTCCAGGGAAGGGAAGATGGTGAAAACGTAAGAGTTGTTTTTAAAGCTCTGTTTCATAACTTAACACCGACAAGGAAAATAAATCTTTGAAAACGTGTGTGTGATTTTGACTTGGTGACACAGGCTGTGGTAAACGGTGCCACAGATGGGCCCCGTGACTCTGGCTTGGGAGTTACTTTGCGAGGCGGGAGACAGGAGTCGTGGTGCGTAACCGTAATTTCTGTCTCTTTTTGTTTCAGAAAAGTAAACAAGTGCTACAGGGGCCGTTCTTGTCCAATAATTGTTCACTGCAGGCGAGTACAAGTTCTCACGTGGATGACACGCGCTCGCCACCTCAGAAGGCAGCCACAGTGAGGCGTGCAAGCGGAACTCTCTATCTGCGTGATAAGTACCTCTAACTGGCGCTTCTGAAGGGAACCAGAGATACAAAGTTAATCTTCTAGGCCCTCGAGCTAAATGCTGCGGTGTGTTTCTTGCACCGACACCCGAGTGAGCCGCACGTGGCCCGCTCTTCCCCGCGAGCCGCCGGGCGTCCCGCACCCGGTCTCCGGCGGCCTGGGCCCCGCCGCCCTAGTTTTTCTTCAGCCCTCGTGGCTCTCACACAAACCCCGAGGCGGTGTCTGTGGTCCGTGGCCTTGTCTTAGCCACCAGTTCACGAGGTGTGGAGCCAGGATGCTGAGAAATGCTTGGGGCCCGTTAGGAGCAGGGACAGACTCTGTCGTGACCGGAGGGACGGCCGCCCCCAGTTGGTTACGTGAGTCTGGCCTGTGGGCAAAACCCAGACGGGCTGCACTCACCCTGGTAAGTAGAGGCACTCAGACGCCCGTGTGAGGGTGCCCTCGCGCCCTGGGCTTCACATCCACCCGGGTCTGGCGAAGAGCCGTGCTCTGTTGCGTAGAATGTTCCTTTCTGCTGGGCCAAAATGGAAATACGTCTCCAAAGATCAGACGCCAAGACGGTCCGATCGGCCGACAAGTGTGCACGCCTCCGTGTGGGTGTCTGACCGTGTGTCAGTGTGTGTGTTGTGGAGCCACGCGCGTGTGACCGCGTGTGTCTGCATTGGGTGCCTGGTAACTGCACGGGTCCGCGTGCTTCCGCGCGGGTCTGTGCGGGACCATTGGGGGCTGCACCGTGGGTCCGTCAGAGAGGGAAGGGAACGGCCCGGAGGCACGGGTGTCCCGGGCGGCGGGTGGACGGCTTGGAAGACACCTGTCGGTGTCAGGGCGGCCGTGGCCCCTCGGCTCTGGGAGGAAAGAGGAAGGCGGGAGCAAATCCACGCAGGCACCTTAGCTAATCCCTGCTGCGAGGGTGGGGGGCTCCCGCCCTCCTTTTCCTCCTCCTCCTCCCTTCCCTCCCCCTCCTCTCCCTCCTCCCTTCCCCCCTCCTCCTCCTCCCTCCCCTTCCTCCTCCTCCCTCCCCCCTCCTCCTCCT